AAAACTGGCTAAAAGATCATATTCAGAGAGTATTGGTTAATGATTCATACTCTGAATGGTCTAGGGTTGTCAGTGGTGTATCCCAAGGTTCAGTGTTGGGACCCTTACTTTTTAATATATTTATAAACAATATAGGGTCTGAGATTATAAATCCCATTTCAGTCTTTGCAGATGACACCAAGCTGTGCAGTGGAATAACGTCCTTACAGGATGTCTTCAATTTACAAGCCGACCTCAATGCACTGTTTAATTGGGCAATTATGTGGCAAATAAGATTTAATATTGATAAATGTAAGGTTATGCACTTGGGGGCTAGGAATATGCATGCATCATAAATAATAGGGGGAGTACAATTGGGGGAATCAATGGTGGAGAAGGATCTGGGAGTTCTGGTAGATCACAAGCTTAATAATGGCATGTAATGCCAAGCTGCGGTTTCAAAAGCGAGCAAAATCCTCTCTTGTATTAAAAGAGGTATAGACTCCAGAGAGAGAGATATCATATTACCCCTGAACAAATCATTAGTAAGACCTCATCTGGAATATGCAGTTCAGTTTTGGGCACCAATTCACAAAAAGAACATTGGGGAACTGGAGAGTGCAGAGAAGGGCAACCAAACTGATAAGAGGCATGGAGGAGCTCAGCTATGAGGAAAGATTAGAGGAACTGAATTTATTCTCTCTTGAGGAGAGGAGATTAAGGGGGGATATGTTCAACATGTATAGATACATCAGTGGTTCTGTCAGGGATCTCGAGTTTCTCCGCGGCGCATGGGTCTACGCATGCGCGGAATCCCGATGCGGACAAGCGTGCAGGCGCTAGGACGTCCGACCTCCTGCTGCTGAACCTGGCTTGTGACTGGACTATCCTCTGCCTGCTGCTCTGTTCCGTTCTGCCTCCACTGTTACCAACCCGGCCTGTCTGACTCCGCTACTGCTTCACGGTGTGTTCCGTCCATCCATCCTGCACGGATCCATCCATTACTGCCGAGGCCTGCTCTGCCTCTTCACATCGGGCTCTTATTCATCTACGTGCCACTGGCGGTTCCCTCGACTACAGCTGGGTGTACTCAGGAGCCGTGACCTGGTCTCAGCCTGCTCCAAGTCCTTCCCCACCATCAGGGGCTCTGGTGAACAAGCAGACTGGGGCTTAGACTCCGCACCCTGGGGAATCCCGGTCTGTGGATCCATAGAGCTACCGTCAGTAGGTACTTGACAGGTTTCATATAGTGAACTCGGTGTAGTTATTCACCCTGAGGTCATCATAGAGGACAAGGGGGCACTCTTTACGTCTGGAGTAAAAGAAATTTAATCTCCAAACACGGAAAGGTTTCCTCACAGTAAGAGCTGTGAAAATGTGGAACAGACTCCCTCAAGAGTTGGTTCTGGCCAGCTCAGTGGATTGCTTTAAAAAAGGCCTGGATTCTTTCTTAGATACACAGAATATAAATGAATACTAACATTTATAGGTAAAGTTAATCGAGGGAATATCTGATCAGGAAAGATTTTTTTACAATGCAGGATCAAATTGGATCATGCTTTGCTGGGTTTTTTTTTGCCTTCCTCTGGATCAATGGTGGGTATAGGATTATAACTTTTTTTTTTTTTGGTTGAACTGGATGGACTTTTGTCATTTTTCAGCCAGACTAACTATGTACTTTACTACCGTGCTATAGCCGAGTGATGGCTACAGCATGGTTGTCCAGTACTGGGAGGGTGTCATATGATGTCTTCCCCAGATCGCGCCCCCCGTGGGCCCCCAGTGGCGCACACCTGGTGCTGTCTGTGATCACTGTGTTCTTTGGACACAGGTGATCACATGACATGGTGAAAGGACAATCACAGCATCCTTTTGCCACGTGATCTCATTCCTGGAAGAATAGTGCCCCATCACTGGTGTCAGTGGGAGGAATAGTACCCCATGATTGGTGTCAGTGGGAGGAACAGTGCCCCATCATTGGTGTCAGTGGAAGGAATAGTGCCCCATGATTGGTGTCAGTGGGAGGAATAGTGCCCATCATTGGTGTTATTTGGAGGAATAGTGCCCCATCATTGGTGTCAGTGACACCTGTGACGGGCTCGGCGTCAGACCCCCAGCTGTTCTTACCAACTTGTGACTGAAGGACTAGCCAATCTAAAAACTGAGCTTTCACGTGCGTAACAATGCCATGCTCAGCTGCACCCTGCACAAAGATTTTCCAGCTCACTGGACCACAATCTATGTGCCACAGCCTGAGAGCGATTGTTACTGGGTCAGGTTAATTACGCAATTAACCCTTCACACTGCCACCACCTCCTTTTTGTACAGAGGAGGAAACTTGCCAATCTTAGCAGTAACACTATGATGTTTGAATAAGCGTCTGTATACACACTGTCACCGCAGGCAGATGTATGCAGAAGTTTAAAACACACAGTAGTGCTCTTCAGAGACAGGGATTCTTAGTTTGCATTAAAGAGCTTTAGAAACAGTTCAACGCTTTTCAGAAAATAGGATTTATTACTAAAAATGTCAAAATGGTGCAAAAAAATATTTACAGAAAAAGATGTAGCCAATATATATATATATATAAATACAGAGAGCAATAACACAGCAGAGAGATAACAGAAAGAAGTTTAGAGAGGTAGAATACTTGCCAGAGCCCTTGTTTTAAGCAGATTCAAGTGTCATGAACAAAAGGGTACCGTTTCTCCCAAAGTTGGTTCCTGATGTTAAAAGGGAGATCTCTTCATCTTACTTCTCCTGGCCTGACAGCCTATTTTGTAGTTCCCCAGCAGGGGGTGTCTCTGAAGTCAAGGGCTAATCGCCTATTTGGGGAGAGGGGTCTAGGCGGAGACCCAAGCTAGGACCAAAATCCCTCCCAAGTTATACCATGGTCAATAACATTCCATAGGTACATGTAGCATCCTATCCACAGGTAGGATAATATGCAGAATGATAATCTGAACGCCCAGACATCACATATGACATATCTGGCTGTGACGGTTAAAGAGATAACGCTTTATGCTCTTGGGTAGACGTAATCTAGGGGTGTAAGGTATCAGGTGACTTGTATTAAAATGACCACTCTGAATATATGTTTTGTTTTATTGTATGTATTTCCTACGAGAAGTTATGAAAGTGTATGAAAAAGTGGTTTCCAAATGAGATATATGTTTTACTGCTATTCCTATCAAGTCTAGTGACTGGCGGGTTTATAGCTTTACGAGCAGCTCAGAGCAAGAGTCGGACAGACACCATGGCATCAGATAATAGGGTTTACAACCATGAAGGGTATCCAGCTGTGCCCTGCGCACTCCTGAACTCAGCACACACCAGACCACATGCCATTCAACAGAAAGGGAAGAGGGGGATTTGGAGTGAGAATGAGAGTGAGAATGACACAAGATGGAGGATCTTTAGCAAAATGGATGTTCGCGTCCATATTTGTATGTACAATTGCTACAACACCAATGATGGGGCACTATTCCTCCCAAACTGACACTATTGATGGGCACTATTCCTCCCACTGACACCAATGATGCTTACATTGCTGACCCCTCCTCCAGCCTGGGCTCACTCCCTCTCCCATCTACAGCCAGCATACCTGGCTGCAGGAGCACCATCTGCTCTGCCCAGATCCTGCCCGCACGGCACAGACACTTACCTTACCGATCAGCTGTCTTCCTTGTCCAGCCGCTGTCCTCCTCTTCAGTGGCTCCGGCTCCTCCCTCGCTCCAATCAGCTTCCTCATGCTGCCGCTCAGCTCCTCCTCTCTGCCTGTGTGCTTTCCCTGGACTACAGATCCGGTGGCCAATCATCGGTGAGGAGGCAGAGCTTGAAGAGGGAGGGACAAGCTGCCATAGGCCGCCCAGTGATCCCAGGGTGTGGCCAGATAAATGAGAGGTGGGTTGGCATGTCACCAAGAAGGAAAATTCCCAACCACATTGCCCCAGCATCTCTGATCCATGATCAACCACCCGGGAAATGGGGATACCAGACACCCTCTCTACCCCTCCTTCAGCAGCGCCTTCGTGGATTGGATCGAAGTGGGACACAGGTAAGATACATAACAGCCCCTGTCCTAAGTGTCACTTCTCTGGGAAGTGCTGCCCTAGGCAAACGCCTTGTTTACCTCATGGCAAATACGCCCCTACATGTGGGGATGTATACTATGGAAGCAGATGCTCCATTTTCTTGACGGTAGGAAAGGAGCAGTCCCTCCAAATAAGGGACAGGTGAGTAGTACTGGTAGTAGTTTTAGAGCCCGAACACATGATAAGAAAATTGCATGAAAATTTGTGTACGAGGAACGATCAGTTGGTTATCTATTCATCAGTATAGTGCTTTCGACAGCTGATTCTGACAGTTTGGATGAAAAAAAAAAAAAGGTGCAAGCTAGTAAAGTGAACACAACATACAATTTTCATTCAATGTTTACAAATAGAAAATATTGTGCACGATCAGAGGCAAAGAACAACTCAGGAAAATACTAATACATAGTTATGTCTGTCTACGCTTGACTTTGACGTTCAAGAATTTTCATAGTTTTAAGTTAATATAATTTTCGTTAACATCATGATATGCACATTTATGGAAAAACAGACGATTGTTCCTCCGATTTTCTCATAGCTTGTTCTAGGCCTTAGTGTTCCCAATTTACTGCCTATGGGTGAGATTTATTAAAACTGGAGCATGCAAAACCTAGTGCAGCTCTGCACAGAAACCAATCAGCTTCCAGATTTTGTTTTCAAAGCTTAAAGCAGCATCTGAGCACCACAAAGTAACAATGCTATTTAACCACATCCCGTCCGCCCTATAGCAGATATACTGCTACAGGTCAGCATGGGTGCGTAAAATCACATATATATATATATATATATATATATATATATATGTGTGATTTTGCATTTCCAGGTAGGTGGGCGCACACGAAGTACATGCGCCCTACCCGCACCACCACTCAGTGCCTGGTGATTGCGAGGATCTCCGACAGAGGAGAGAACTATTAGTAAACAAAACAGTTCTCCTCCCTGTCAGCCCCTGTACACTGCTTTGCATGGCTGTGAACAGCACAGCCATGCAAAGCAGTATGCTTACAGTGCAGCACACAGATACAGCCCCATAGTAAAACAGCACTCAGCACACTGTTAACCCTTTGATCACCCCACATGTTAACCTCTTCCTGCCCAGTGCCATTAGTATAGTGTCAGTGCTTTTTATTAGCACTAATCACTGTATTGGTGTCACTGGGGATGTCAGTTCCCCCCCAGTGTCAGAATGCCCGCCGCACTCCCGCAGTCCCGCTATAAGTCGCTGATCGCCTCCATTACTAGTAAAGATGTAAAAAAAAATCCCAGTATATATACCGCCATTTTAAACGCTATAACTTTCATGTAAACAAATTAATTTACACATATTGGGATTTTTTTTAGCAAAGACATGTAGCAGAATACATTTTGTCCTAAATTTATGGTGAAATTAGATTTTTTTACATTTGTTTACTGGATATGTTTAATAGCAAAAAGTCAAAAATATTGTTTTTTTTTTTTCTCTAAATTGACGGTCTTTTATAGCGTAAAAAATAAAAAATGCACAGGCGATCAAATACCACCAAAAGAAAGCTCAATTAGTGTAAAAAAAAGGACCTAAATTTAATTTGGGTGCAGCGTTGCATGACTGCGCAACTGTCAGTTAAAGTAATGCAGCGCCGTAACGCAAACAATTGCCTGGTCAGGAAGGGGGGTAAATCCTCTGGAGGGCAAGTGGTTAATTAATTTTTAATTTCCATAGCAAAATCCCCCATCGATTTAAGCCTACATGCTTTATTTTGCTAAGAAACCCCATTGAAAAACACCTCCCTAGCATTTTTGGTCATGGCCATCTTAAGTAAGGGCAGATGATTCATGTAGCATTGACTCCCTAGAATCTGCCCGTAGTTCAGGCATACAAGCATGAGGGCATGCTTAGCTGAGTAAACCCCTCCTCCCTTTCAGAAGACTCCTGGGATGTATGACATCATTTGCCTAGGCAAGAAACCAGGAAGTAACTTTAGAAACGTGAAAAAAAAATGTTTTTAAAACAAATACATATTATATACGTTCCTATCTATTTACTAATGCAAGCAGCACGAGGATTAAAAATAGTCAACGTTGATTGAGAGAGTGAAGCTTCTCTTTAACCACTTGCCATCCGCCTACTGTTTTAAAACGGCAGGACGGTGTCACTCTAGGGGCGGGTTGCCGTTCATAAACGGCACCCGCATTTTCTAGTTGTGCACGCTCCCTTGTAGTGCGCAGCACCGTGATCCGGTGCCCGCTGTGTCCTCCGGACACAGTGGAACACCGATCGTCGGACGGGACCTCTCTGTGAGGTCCCGATCATGTGATCACTGATTGGCCAATCAGTGATCATATGCAGAGTAGTAAGCAAGATGTCACTTGTGACATCATTGCTTACTACGTGTGAAATCTGTGAATGATCACAGAGGTCACATGGTACAAGGCTATTCACAACAGCCTTACACCATGTGACAAGCTGTGACCAATCGCAGCTCACTCAGTAGTTCTCAATGGCTGTAAGAATGCAGCCAGAGAGAAGGAGAAATAATTGCTATTACAGTCTTTATGGGTGTAAAAGCAATCAGTTTAAAAAAAAATAAAAATCTTCATCACACCCCACAAGTAGTACAGTGTCACCATGGTGACAATGTACTGCTATGGTGACAGTATGTAAAAAAAAAAAAAAAAACATAAATAATAATAAAAAAATTTAAAAAAAGTTAAAAAAAAAAATTTAAATTATAATTTTTGGTTATAAACTAATTTGTGTTATTTTTTTTTTACTAAAAAGATAACAGAATACATTTTGGCCAAGATTTATGATGAAATATTATTTATTTGCAAAATTTTATAAGAAAAACACTTTTTTCAAAATTTTTGGACTTTTTCATTTAAATAGCAAAAAAAAATAAAAATCCCAGGGGTGAATAAATACTACTAAAATAAAGCTTTATCTGTCTCAAAAAATGCATATAGGTACAGTGTTGCATGACCGCGCAATTGTCATTCAAAGTGTGATAATGCTGAAAGCTAAAAAATTGGCCTTGGCCTTGGCAGGAAGTTAATTAAACAAGCTGAAGTTAGAATTTGATTGGCTACCATGCACAGCTGCACCAGAATCTGAGTTGTCCAGTTTTAGTAAATCTCCCCCGTGTGACAATACTGTGTGCTTTTGCATGATCATTGTTTATTGCTGTTTTAATTCACTTGTCCTGGCAACTATCATCCACAAATTTTTGTTTTGCTTTCCTCCAGAAAAAAAAGATTTGGAAAGAGGTTGAACTTTTTACAGCATGTATTCCGTCTGCTTTTGAACATTGTTCTCCCACTGAAATTATTTGCATGCCATGCATGGTATGATTTTCTATAAGCAGTCCTCATGTGCAAAAATGACTGAATATGTATGGATAAAATGGCTAAGATGTATATATAAAAATGTGACTATTTACTTGTAAATGGGTGTGTTGTACAGCAAATGGAAAATGAGAGGCCTGCGCTTTATCAACTTCAGTAAATATGTAATCAAGCACATCTGTTCTCGCTCTGAATTTTATGTACAAATAATCCAATTAAATATCGACAGAGAAAAAATACCAGTGAGGTTCTGTGCAAGCTCATGGTGTAAAAACACTGTATGAAATTGAAAATTATTTATTTGGCTTTTGTTCAGTTGAATGTAATTTCCTCTTATCGATCCTTCTTTTTCAGTAGCATTGCATAACTAGGAAAACAAGGTTTGTTGCATACAGAAAGCTGCAACTTTAACCATCTATTCTACTCAAATGGTTCATACACACAGGTAATTTTACAAGTAGATCAGATTAGGTTTACTGTGTATTGTGCTGTATTTTGGGCAAGTACAGTATAATAGAGAAATATAGCAGTGCTTAAAATACCAAGTTTGGTTTTACTCATAGAAACCATTTAAGGTGAATCTGTGGACTGCTGTGTAGAGAAAAGCAACAGGTTCTTTTTAATAGAAGCCCCAGCATCAACTTACACTGATTTTTTCTTACTCCCCCTTGACTCTCTGTCCTCCCGCAATGAAGAAAAAAATGGTTGTGAAAGCTCCGCAACTCAGACTTATATGAATAAAGACTCTCCATATACCCATGGGACAGTCCTAAATATTAGCGTGGCCAACCACAAAGCACCTGCATTGTCACTAAGGGGGGATGAAAGTGAATCACATATTTCCCCATGTGGAAGTACCCAACATGTGTCTGCACTCCTGGTGGCAGAACAGAGTGGTGTAGTGCAAAAGAAAGGAAAGTATAAGGTGCCGGAGGAGCTGCCCGGCATGAGCAAAGAACAAGAACAATAGTGGAAGCTAAATATCACATCTGTCTTCTTCCGTCATCATCTTCATCAACTTCCCTGATGAGTATAGGGCTGTGTAATCCTCTTTTCATTCAATACAAATTCCTTGTGTAACAGGCACACTGTCACTGAGCTATGCAGGACATCCATAGACTATAATGTAAAAGTGTTAATTATGCAATTTCTCTTTATGGCCACAAAATATGGAGATGCTGACTTTTCCCTCCTAAACCACCTTGAAACATAAAGAACACTAGGAAGTGTAGTCTTGTGAGCAGTATAAGGGCACTGTATTTGCTGCAGTTTAACTGCCAGAGATCTCAGAGCACAGTTGGAGTTACAGGATGGTAAACAATAAGAAAAGCCCAAAAAGGGGAGATGCTACCAGGCATGGGGCTCACGACCATCCGTACTGGTCCCACTCTGCTGCCTACAGGTTACCATGGGAAACACAGTACCATCGACCTACTGCACCGGCCCTGTTCTGCTGCTTTCAGGTTAACATGGGAGACACATCACCATCAACCCACAGTACTGGACCAGATCTGCTGCTTCCAGGTTGTCACATCATCAGTCTGCTGTGATGGTTCTGCTGCACTATTGTTCTATTGCTGACACTGTATACACTGTGAAGAGAGTTAAGTCATATTCACCTCCCCAAAATTCTGTTTGAAATTTACATTTACTTTTTATTGACCTGTCTGGCTGGTTGCCAACATTCAACTTTAGCCTACACTTGATTCAGTTTGCTAACCTGCATAATAACCTACCAGTGCATACTTCCATCTCACAGTGTGCAGGATTGCTGACCTTCATTAAGCACACCTACAACACCAAGGACCCCACCGTAGCCGGCAGAAGACTTCCACTGGGGATTAAATATATATATAGTCCATACCTCCAGTTCAGCTGTTTGTACACTGCTCTGTTTGCAAGAGAAAGCCTAGGCCTTGCTCCCCCTCACCACAAGTCACACAGGCAACTTTAGTCCTATATACTTGATATACTTGATATATACAGTCATGGCCGAAATTGTTGGCACCCTTGATATTTCTCCAGGAAATCATGTATTTCTCACGAAACGTATTGCATTAACACATGTTTTGCTATACACATGTTTATTCCCTTTGTGTGTATTGGGACAAAACAAAAAAAGGAGGAAAGAAAGCAAATTCGACATAATGTCACACAAACCTCCAAAAATGGGCTGGACAAAAGTATTGGCACCCTTTCACAACTGCGGATAAATAAGAATGTTACAAGCATGTGATGCTCCTGTAAACTCACCTGGGGCAAGTAACAGGTGTGGGCAATATAGAAATCACACCTGAAAGCAGATAAAAAAGGAGAGACGTTCACTTAACCTTTGCATTGTGTGTCTGTCTGTGCCACACTAAGCATGGACAACAGAAAGAGGAGACGAGAACTGTCTGAGGACCTGAGAACCAAAATTGTGGCAAAATATCAACAATCTCAAGGTTACAAGTCCATCTCCAGAGAACTAGATTTGCCTTTTGTCCACAGTGCGCAACATTATCAAGAAGTTTGCAACCCATGGCACTGTAGCTAATCTCCCTGGTCGTGGACGGATGAGGAAAATTGATGAAAGATTGCAACGCAGAATAGTCCCGGATGGTGGATAAGCAGCCCCAAACATGTTCCAAAGACATTCAAGCTGTCCTGCAGGCTCAGGGAGCATCAGTGTCAGCGCGA